GAGCCGGTGAGATTAGAACCGCTGAACTGCAGATAACAGTCAGCTGAAGTGGCCTGCAGTACTGCACCCTAACCACTGCGCCACCTCGGCTATTAGCTTAATAATTGCAGTGATTTACTTAACAACGAGGGACGTGGTGGCGAAGACTCTGAGCTTGTTGATCAGAAAGGTCGGTGGTTCGAATTCAAGCACCGCGTAACGGAATGAGCTCCCGTTACTTGTCCCAGCTTCTGCCAACCAGTTTGAAAGCAGGTAAAAATGCAAGTAGAAAAATACGAACCACTTTTGGTGGGAAGGTAACAGCATTCCATGCACCTTCGGCATTTAGTCCTGCCGGCCACATGACCACGGAGACATCTTTGGGCAACTCTGGCTCTTCGGCTTTGAAACGAAGATGAGCGCCGCCCCCTAGAGTCGGGAACAACTAGCACATATGTGCGAGGGGAACCTTTACCTTTGCTTAACAACAATAACGAGAAAGGTTGTAAAATGAGGCAAAACTCACTTAACAACTTTCTCTCTTACTAAAATAAATGTTGGTCCAATTGTGGTTGTAAGTCAAGGATCGCTTCACCCAGAGATAGAATTCAGAGCCTAATTTTCTTTCCCTCTTTCACACCTGCAGATACATGGACATACCTTTCTTTCTGTAACTGATTGATTAGAAATGATCAATGATAGATCATTTGATAGAAATGAAATGATTAGAAATAATTACACCTGACAGTGTTCCCTCCAAGTGTTTGTGGTTCAAGTGAGTTTTGCAAAAAAGGGTTTTTAAATCTCATTTGGCCTTCTGAAATCAGCAGGGCAGCAATAGAAAATAATTGCAGTAAGCCAAATTCCCAGGCTAAATTTGCCCTCATTCAGAGGAAGCCTTCAACTTCTAAGGAGAAATGAGGCCTGGCACGGCTTCTGTGGTAAATTCCACACCCAGAGCCAAGGTCTCCTGGTCCCAACAAAAAAAAACCTTTTATTAATTGACTGTGAATTCTGCGTGGCCCGACAAAACCGCGCTCTTCAAAATAGCAGCGACAAAACCGCATCGCTAAAGCCGCGACGTCATCACCGCGGCGACAACAGCGCGGCGATAGAAGGGTGCTTTAAAACAGCGCGGCGACAGAAAGCCGATTTAAATTAAGGTAAGGGTTAGGATTAGGTTTAGGGGTTTGGGCTAGGGTTAGGGTGATGAGTGCTTCGGAAGGCGCGGATTTGCCCTCCGCGGTTATGTCGTCGCGCTAGGGTCGCATTTTTCCTTAGCGCTTCGGACGGCACGGATTTGCCCTCCGCGG